CAAAAGTTTCATTCTCCATTGTGGGGGACTCCTAACAGATGAAGTTATTCAGAGACTCCTTCCTCCTGTCCCATGTGCTGTAGACTTATTGACACAGTAAGTACAGTACTATTTTTAAAAGTATCTGATTTGCTGACTTGGGAGGTCTGTTAATCCCAGTTAAGTAACTAAAATGTAAATTTGGAACTGCGATTTCATAAGCTGACATCCAGCATAACATTTACAGGGACTTCAGGATTTTTGGCTCCTTCCCACCAACAGATGTCTCTAGCAGCAACAGTAACATCCTCTTGAAGGTTTTCAGCTGTCCCGTGCAGGGTTTCAGAATGCTTCAGGGGCATTTTATGCATAGAGAAATGAAGAATTTATAAATTAGGAAACCATGATTCAAACAGTGCAAGGTTATATCTGATATAGGAGCTGTTTAACATACTTGTGTTTCAAACTGACGATTTGGTTATTCCACTCATACAACAATAGTTGCAGAACTGAGAGTGAGTGCGCTCCATAATCTATTGAGCGAAAGAATAAGACTAGATTTTATTGCAACTAAGGAACCAACAGAAAGAGGAGCTCTGTCCTTTTCATCCTCTGGGAGCTTCCTGGGGGGTTGAGTTTCCAGCACTAACCCCAGGGAATATCCTTTCAAAAGTGTCCCCCTGTTAAAGCCACAGGGTGCCCTGAGAGTCCTGGTCTCTGAAAGCAATGCAGGAGGGAAGGATAAGTCCTTCTTGTCCCTCTCCCTTGCCTAGTAGCATTTTGGGAACGATGGCAGCTAACATCCTCAGACAGCCCTGGATGTCTTCTCTGTAAACAAAACAATATTTCTTCCTTTTCTGAAGATTAGTCTCTGTCACAATTTTTCTACATTGGTTTAAGAGGGGGTCGGACAATAACATGTTACAATCAACACACTTCCTCCTAAGTATGCTTCTGTTCTGGAGTTCAGCCAGGCAACCATTCCCTCTTCTGGTACAGTATAAGATGTGTCAAGAGTTTAAAGACAGCACTTTGGCCAATATGTTTGGTTTGCTTTTTGATAGATTATGAAAGAGTTACTATTTGGACTACAGATACCAGCATCTGAGAGTTATAATCCAGAAAAGTAACTTCTGCAAATTCTGCCACCAACACTCAGTATTCTTTGGCTTACTACCATTTGCAATCCACGCTCGGCGGAGGTTTTGTATTGGGGAGATGGTTCCCAGATGACGTAGATACCTCCATTTCTGTCATTGATAACCACCTGAGTTCAGTACCAGAGCACGTGAAGTTTTGAAAATATGTGTACATATATACAGTGGTGCCTCGCATAACGAGTGCACCGTTTAACGACGAATCCGCAATGCGATTGCATTGCGATGTTTTAATGGGTAAAACATCGCATTGTTATGATCAGTAAGCATTTCGCTTACCGATCTTCGCATTGCGATGTTTTTTTAAACAGCTGGCCGCGGTTCCAAAATGGCCACCGGGTGCCTAAAATGGCCGCCGCAAGTGTTTTTGCGCCCCGCCCTCACTTACCGAGGGCGTGAAAATGGCGGCACTATGGAGGAACTTTGCTCAACGGTGAGTTTGGGAGCCATAGGAACGCATTAAACGAAGTTTAATGCATTCCTATGGCTTTTTCCGTTCCGTTTAGCAATGTTTCTGCATAGTGACGATTAATCCGGAACGGATTAACGTCGCTATGCGGGGCACCACTGTATTGCTTGGTGTTGGTTTGAATCTGGTGTAGTTTTCCAAATAATAAATTTCTGGTAAGGGGCAAAGCAAAATGCTTGCCAACATTTGTTGGATATAATTTTTTTTAACATCAAGTTATATTCTTGTATGTTTTAAAGGCTTCCTTCACTAAATAAAACCTATGGCAATCCTCTAAAATCAGCATCAATGACATATAGAAAAAGACTTTATGAGTTGCTTAGTTTATTACCTCCAAAGACATATGAAGGTATGTATTTCTTCAAGCATTATTTGTCTAAACATCTCCTAATTTTTTTTCTTTTTACCCATTGTATTTTATTGGTAGATGGCCTACCAGATCTTACATGTATACAAAATATTATTGATTTGTGTTCATGAAACTGCCAGAAACATTTTTCAAAGAGATAGCCATATTAGTTTGTTTCAGTGTATATGACAAAAATAGAGTGACAAACTGGCCTAGGTTTGAGTCCCCACTCAGCCTGGAAACTCACTGGGGATGTGCAACTGATAAAACCACTCTTTAAATATCTCAAATCTGAGTTTTCTGTTTAAAGTTAAAAAAAATTTGGATAGTCAATAGATAGACGACAGTATAATACATCTATATTTGCTTGCATGTGCCTGTTCAATAAAAAGAAAATTAAAGATTTTCTTTTATATTCAGTTTATCTGCCTTGCATGGGTCAAAGAACTTTAAAAAATATTCAGAAGAAGGGAGCAAATTGTATAGGGTGCACAATATTCTGGTTCATTATGGGGTTAACCTTTATGGGACAAATACCAGCTGCAATGAACATGGCTTCTGTCCATTCCCCCAAGGTCTATGCAATTCTATGGGGCGCTTAGGGAAATACTGTATTCAGATGCCAGACTCCCTGATTTTGTTCCCTGGCAAAATCAGAAAGGCTTGCCACAGAATTACAACTGTTGCCATTCTGTATGGTTTTGTAATTCCCAGCCTTTCTGTTGTAGACCATACAAGGAAGGAAGTTGGCAAAAGGGAATACTAATCCTCTACATGAGTGCTTCCTGACTTTTGGTAACCTAGTTGTTCTTGAACTGCAGTTCCCAGAAGCCTTCACCACCAGTTGTGCTGGCTGGGATTGCTAGGAGCTGCAGTCCAAGAAAACCTGGGTTACCTAAGGTTGGGAACCACTGCTCTAGAAATCCTGATGATACACCTGACTCTTGATTTCCAGTCATCTGCAAGTTTAAAAAGTAAAAGCATCTGCAGGTTCGATTAGTAGTACCTTTCACCATAGCATAGAAGTACTCTCTGAAGGTCTCAAGTGGTCCAAGAGGAGAGCATACTTTCTAGTAACCTGGGAGAATCACATCATTTGTCCATAGCAGTGACTCTTGTAAAGGAACTGATAATAGAGAAGTTGGGTAACAAATGGTTTCTCAGTCAGCTTCCTTGTTTCAGCAGACACAATTTTTGTGACTTTTCATGATTGATGTTTTCTCTTCAAAATAGCCATGGATTCCATTGCATGCCTTTCCACCTCTTAACATGACAGAGGAATGTTGTTTTCAAGGCTGCAACCACAAGGAACTATAATTGTTACCACCTTTTGTTGTTGTTGTTGTTGTTGTTGTTGTTGTTGTTGTTGTTGTTATTTTTTAAACATTTTATTATTTTTATAACGTACATACCTACAAAATAAAAAAAGAAATACCTACAAAACAATAACACATAAAACTAACAAAACATACAGGCAGGGAGGTATTTCCCATACCAGCTTATCTATTATATAAATTCTGACTACAAAAATAATATATCTGTGTGCATCTACACGTTATATTACACATCCCTATTTTGTATATCTAATTAAGTATCTAACATCCTAAATTTATAATAAATTTTGTAAATTCTCTCATCTGCATTTCCATCCATCTAACTCTCATCATAAACATTCCTCATTTCCTCTTTAAAATTACTTATCCACCATAATATACACACAGGCCTGTTCATTCCTTAATGATCTCCATTCTTATAAACAGAAAACTATATGTGTAATCTTGTCAGCATAATCACTCTTATAGTTCACACATATTTGATATTTCCATATACATGCCTCAGAAACAAAACATCCATTATTATTATTCATCATCATTTCTGAAGTCATAAGTCACATACGCTTGTCTAACCTTAAATTTCATGTCTGGCCAAATTTGCTTATAGTATATTAGTCATTATTGTTGTTATTATTATCAGCACTGGAAAGCAGTTATCCCAACTGAATTCTAATGAAATTTTAGTTTGAAATTTGCAGCACATAGATAATTAGGTCAGTGGATTAGGTATCTGGCTGAGGAGCCAGAGATTGGGAGTTTGATTCCCCCACTGGGCCTCCAGTGAATTGAGCCAGCCTTGAGCAAGCTGTACATTCCAAGGAGCCCCTAGAAGGAGGGAATGCTAAACCACTTCTAAGTACTCTCTCTACCCAGAAAACCCAAAGAAAACCCAGAATTGACTAGATGGCACTTGATGATGATGATTATTAGACAACTGAAATTACTTCTGTAATTAATAGAATAAAATGTATATTGTAGCAAAGCAGCATACACAAGCAGAATGAACCTTCTTCATTAAATTTTGCAGTGCCTGAACTGTTTTCTGTTTACAGCAATAGCTTGTCATATTGATATGTTTTAGATATAGAGTAAAGTGGAGAGCTTAGCATTTATTTTTGTCCTTGTACCATTCTTTAAACTCACCCATTGTAATTCTATGAAGCTTTTTAAATTGTGGGATTTTTAAAAAATATTATCTTTTCATTGCTGAAAATCTTTCATGTTGGAATTTAGTGTCACAATATTAAATAACGATAAGTTTGCTTTTTAAAATGTTTGCTAAAATATTTTTTGATACACATTGTGTATAAAACTTATTTTTCTATCCCCACAATTTACAGAAAGCTTTTCTGCAGTTCTCAAAGAACTGGTGCTTGATTTGACTCAACCTGATAGCCAGATAGCAACCTCTGTTGGTTATCTTCCATCTTTCCCACACCAGAATGAACTTGCCTTACTTGGCCCCATACTGCAGGAGACAGAACACAGATTCATTGAAGAGCAGGTATATACTTATGTTTTAGTCTCTATTCACATACTCAGAAAAGAAAAGCTAGAGCGCTTTGATTAATATTTGCATTTCTTTTATCTTTGCAGTTGCTCTTAGTTAACAGTATGGCTGGTGGGAGTCTAGAGTATGACCCATATTCAGTTTGTGAAAAGTCTGCAGAAGGCGATTCAGTGCCTAAGCCCTTACCGCCAAATTTATCCATTATCAGCGCAGCAACCCGTCTCTTTGGTGTAGTATTTCCTTATGTTGCAGAGTCCCAAAGGTAAACAAAATTAATGACACAGAATTCGTTCTCATCAGATTACTGACACAATGTAGAAAGTGGTCTATTAATAATCAGCTCTGAACATTCTCTGTCACACCTCTGACATGTGACCTGTGGAAGCATAATAAAAGTTGTGCCTGTTTTAATTGGCACATGAAACTTGGTAGAATACTATATGAGAGTATGGCAGTAGTATGTGTATGTTCTTTGTAACTGTTAGATGAGTATTTTATATATACTGTTGTTAGGAAGTAAAACCTGGGCTGAGATAGAAAGCATAATATGCCTAATGTAATTAACCCCATATCTCACACTTTAGTGGAATAAACTACATGATAACTTTATCCAATTTTTTCCTCTTTATTTTGTTGATTTAAGGCATCAGATATTAGAACAGTTACTGACATCTGTAAAACAAACGAAGGGATCACGGCAGAACATTGTACAACAAAATGTTATGCTGGCATTTTCTAATGTTCTGAAGGTGAGAATCTTTCCCTCTTTTTCTTAAAATGTTTAGTTCTTTGGCCAAATATTGATTGTTTCCTCTACCTGCACAATTTAAGAAGACGTTTGGAAATTTCTGTTGTAGGGAACCATTGTGTTGTGTATTGCCTGAACCAGGAAATGTGGTTAACACTGTGAATCATTACAACAGAGCAACTTCAGAACTTGTGATTTGTAGTGACATGTTATGAAATTAACATTTTTATTAATAACCTTTATGTGGTTTCTGTTAGAATTATAAACATTTAAAAAGCAAACTCTATCATTGTGATAGTTCAACAAAATTTCTATTCAGTTTGGTGCATGGGACACAAAACCAGTAAAAATATAGCATACTTCAAATGTGTTGGAAAGGAAGGAGGAAAGACAGAGGGAGTGAAGGTTCGTTGTAATTAGCACCAGGGATGGGGACTTGAGTCACAGAACTCTTTGTTAAGTCAGACTTAAGTCAACACAGGATGGAGTGTTTTTTCAGTGACTCAGACTCGACTTGCAATTCAGAATCCACTCACCTCCCTTTTTTTTCTGGAGAAAAAATGTTTATTTTTAATTGGGGTGTGGAACTCAGGACTTCGTACCAAGGACTCTGGCTTGGACTAGAGACTCAGACCCAAAGGCTTGCCAACATCCCCAGTTAGCTCTAACAAAATTGATTTCACTCATTGGCACAATAAAATGTGGTTGACCATGAGTGAAAGTGAAAGCTTCCAAAATCTCTTCCCAGTCATCAGGGATAGGGAGCACAAGCCCATGTATTTCTGTATGTAGTTTTTCCTGCTACATTGTTGCAATGGTTCCCAACGTGAACCGCTTGTGGGGAGTGGCATGCTTGTGGGGATGTGGCGCACCCGCAGGGGAGTGGAGCATGCTTGTGGGGGCTGCTTGCATGCATGCATGTGGCCCGCTCGCAGGGGGCAGAGCGCGCTTGCGCACATGAGTGCAGCGGCGCTCGCAGGGGGTGGCTGCTCGTTGGGGGGGCAGGAGATCTGTGTCTTCGGCCTGGTCCTGCCTAGGCCGTGGACTGCTACCAGGTCACAGACCGGGGGTTGGGGACCCCTGGCTTAATGTGTCTTATTGTGCCTTACCGACATACATAAAACCTGTGGTAATGTAAGATGCTGATTTCTATTACTAACCCTTTCCAGGGATTCACAGGCTTTTCAGCATTGAGGACCACATTGTCAGTTTAAAGGTCAAAGGCCACAAACTTCATTATGTAGGTACACCTACATGCACCACCAATCCTGATACAAATCACTGTTCTTTCACCACTGAGGACAGTGGAATAAGAATTTGATGTTATGATTAATGAAGGAGGGGATAAAGAGCCATTACAGTGAACTGAGTGGTAAGAGGAATTTGGACATCAATAAAGAGGAGCAATTAAGACCCCCCGGGAGCTGTATACAGCCCCCACGCTGCAGATTATGTATTCCTGGTCTGATGAAAGTAGCACTTTTATAGCTGTAGGTATCTGCCCATGTTGGCAGCATAATAATTCCTCCTATGCATCTGGAAGCATCAGGCAGTTTGATCCCATATGGGCAAAATCCTCTTGATCTCAGGTGCCCAATAATGGCTGAAGAAACCATTCTTCTGCTATAGCCTTATGAGGATAATACACCTCAAAATGGTTTTATATTTTGACCTTCCCTTGTTAGAGAGACAACGGGTAACATTTATCCATATAAAATATAAACATTACATTTCTTGATTTTCATTTAGTGATACAATACTGTGTCTTCATAGGAAATAGTAAGACGTGCATTTCATCAACCAATATAGTAATGTAAAAGAAAATCATGGCTGTTTTAAAAATTGGTATTTTTATTGATTCTAGCATTTGTCTAGCTGCAAGGGAAATTTAGGTTCTGAGGAAGTCCGAAGCTGTGCCCTGACCTTAGTGCTGAATGCCTTGGAAAGCAGTAATCCCCTTCTGAGATGTTCTGCTGCTGACTCCCTAGCAAGGCTTGCACAGGTAGTTGCAGACAGCACCTTCACTGCTGGATTGGCACAAATCAGCTTTGACAAGTAAGATACTTCTCATGTGGTTTATATTACATTACACCGTTGTCATTTCTATCATTATCCTCATTATGTCTTCTGTGTAGTTTGTGTCTGGAGAATATGCCTGCAGTAATTCTGGATGTATTTACAAGGGAGTCGTGGGATTAATTTCTGAGTAAAACATGTATAGGATTTAATGTTCTGTGCAAAGTGATTAAAAGTTCAGCTAGTAACTTATTCTTTACTCCATGTTTAGTTGGCTGCTTTTATGGAAATTCTGTATTGTGTGTCAGAGTACACACACACACACATTTGCATCCGAAACACATACTTTTGCATCTGAAATATAAAATTGATTAATATATTCTAGTGGCATAAAGGCAGAAGGGATTCTCCACTTAATAAAAACTATTAAGTCAGCCTCACTGGTATAACTGTAGAGGAAGCAATCATATTGTTTCTGTAGCCATTCATTTGAGGTCAGTGCTAGAAATGTATTGTGACAGCTTTCCGCACATCCTTTTTCATTTTGTTTATTTGAGAACTGAAAGTTGAGAATATTGTTCTTTGCTTCTCTATCGTTTTTCTGTACATTTTGAAGTATATATTTTTAATCATTCTTAGGCTAAAATCTGCTAGAGATGTGATATCAAGAACAGGGCATTCCTTGGCTCTTGGATCTCTGTATAGATACCTGGGTGGAATAAGCTCTACTCAGCACCTGAATGCATGTGTTGGAATACTTTACACATTGTCTCAGGATAGTACTTCACCTGAAGTCCAGGTGTGTATTGGATGTTATCCTTTTTGATTCTATGAGTGATCTTGACATCTTTTGGGAGTAAGAAGCTGTGAAGATGAAGAAATAAAAATGCGTTGGTCAGTATCTTGTTATGTAGCTCTGCCTGCACGACATGAATGATATCAGAAGCAGAAGCAGATTACTGCTAATTAAAGAGTTCCTTTCTTGATTTTACACATGATTCCCATCTCATTGTATGAGAGTGGTGCACACCCTAAAATAAAAAGTTCTCTTTAATTAATCACAGTCTGCTGCTGCTCATTGTGATGTAATTGCTCTTTGCACAAGTGGAGCTGCACAACAGGATACTGGCTGTTCTTTAAGTATTAATGTGCATTTATTTTGCAAAACAATAATAGAAAAGTATGTTTCTTTCTCTAGAGTACAATCCATTTTAAAAACAATCTACAGTACAAGCTTTTTAACAGTGGGGAGATTTTTGTTGTTGCTGCTGTTTATATCCTCATCATTATTGGTGAGAGAAAAGAGCTGCATTATGCCATGCATATTAACTGTTTCTAGGCATGCGTCCTTCCTACGTACAGTTCTGCTAGTTACTATCACCCTGTCCCCTCCATGTCCCAAACAGGAACACAGAGGAGCAGTGGACAGTTTCCTTCCTGGACTTACAGTTAGCAAAATGAGAATGAATGTAGAACTCACGATCAGTTTCCTTGTCAGTCCCCAAGTTCTTTGGCAGAGATGTACTCTGTTGACTCTGAATGTACGGAGCTGGGGGGAGGCTCACACATTACACCTAATTCCTTTATTATTTTCATCCATCTCGTCTTCCTTTCAAGTGTGAGCAAGTTAGCCACTCTTATGGTTAAGCAAAGCAAGCAAGATTACATGGATCTTTTTATTTCAAATGTTTTATACTACTATTTATTCTTAAGAAAATCCCATCATTTTTATCGCATGGTGTGTCCATAAGTGCATCTGTGTGTCCAGAACTGTAGCTATTGTCTTTTCTCTTTCACAGTTCGGTTAGGAGGAACAATTGCACATTTTGAGAGCATTCATGTTAAACTTGCAGTTTCCAGTCAGCTTATTACACTGCTGCATTATTGTTCACCATCCCACCAAAAGTACACTCCTATTACACTGCAATTTTATTTTGGAGCACGGTTTGTGAAGTTAATTCATGTTCATATGTATGTGTGTGAGAGAGTGACACCGCATTACATTTTTTGGTGTTTTACAGACGTGGGCACTGCACTCCCTGTCCCTGGTCATTGATTCTGCTGGCCCTTTGTATCATGTGCATGTGGAACCTACCCTTTCTCTTGTTCTCATGTTGTTGCTTACTGTGCCTCCTGCTTATGCTGAAGTACATCAAAGCCTTGGTTGCTGTTTAAATTCTCTTATCGCCAGTTTGGGTCCCGAGTTGCAAGGTATGCACATATTTGCATCATGGTGAGACTTAAAAGAAACACTAGAAATCCTGGAGATACCATGTTTCCCCGAAAATAAGACCTAATCTGAAAATGAGCCCTAGTATGATTTTTCAGGATGCTCGTAATATAAGCTTTACCCCAAAAAGAAGCCCCAGTTAAGTGAAACCCCGCCCTCCACCATTGTGCAGCAACCAGAAGACGACGACATGACTATATTTGAATAAATGTAGATTGTTGTACATGAAAAAAATAAATCATCCCCTGAAAATAAGCCCTAATGTGTTTTTTGGAGCAAAAATTAATATAAGACCCTGTCTTATTTTCAGGGAAACATGGTACTATTTGCTATCATCATGTGAACAGAGGACTGGAAGAATTAACTAAAAAGGCCAAAATCCTGTTCCTGCCATCTCCAGAAATCACAAGTCTTATGTTTGTGTAGGGCGTGCTGGGCACATCAGTGCAAAACCTCTGGTAGAGTGCTGCTGTGTGAAATGAAGTGTTGTGCAGGCAGATTAAGCAAAATAATTCCGGCCAGATTTTTGAATGTTATATATTTACACATCCAGAGCCTTGCCTTGGATAGTTTTGCACCTTCAAAGGGTGGTGAAATGAGTGGTGATTTGCATATGACTTTTTCTGAATGGTTCAAAGAAACCATTGGCTTGTTTCCCCTGGCATCAATTAGAACTTAGCACAATCCACACTTTGGCGCTGTTTGTGGATCAGGCCCACTGGTGTTGCGTGTGTGCCCCCGATTCCCTGTCACTCAGAGGAGGGGCGGGGCAGGGAATCCTGGGCTGCTGCCTCTGAGTGGATGCCTGCAGGAGAAGGCAAGGTGGGGAATCTCGGGCACCAGTGTAACACCTGTGGGCCTGATCCACCAAACCACGTCAAAGTGCTGAAGCACAGATTGTGCCCCCATCTCTAATCAGAATTCCAACCTTTTTTCCCCTGGCATTATATCCTCCAAATTAATAGAGGCAGAACTTGGAAAAGAGACCTCTTTTTGGACTATAATTCCTAGAATAGGCATGCTGCCTGTGGTGTTCTGGGAAGTGTATTCCAAAAAAATAATAATCTGTCTATGTGATGCAGGTGCACTCTTCTTGGTCTGCAGACCTAAAAGATCTAACTAAAGTAATCCTCTGTATGATTAAGTCAAAAGATGAGTGTGCCTTTTTCTTTTTGGGATTTGCATTGTCCTCTGTGCAAGATTTGTATGCATAAATACGGGGAGCAGACCTCCCTGGCATTGAAGGGGCCATATAAACAGATGCATTTTTAAGCAAGCATAGAAGCTGTGGGTTATCCCTTCAAGTCCCTACTATTGAAATGAATTATGTTTTTCATAAGCTAGGACCCTTAACATCTTCATAATAGGATGAACATGTTCTTTGCTGTAGTTTAGTGCCAGATGTGTTCAGTGCTATTAGATTAATAAAGAGACTGGTGAAATATGTTTTTCCCTCCTTTCTTCCATTTTTAAGGCAGTAGCTCTACAATCTCAGCCTTAAGGGCTTCTTGTCTCCTGGGCTGTGCAGTGATGCAGGATAATCCTGATTGCCTTGTCCAAGCTCAAGCCATCTCTTGCCTTCAGCAGCTTCATATGTTTGCTCCACGTCATGTGAACTTATCCAGCCTCGTAAGGTGCCTTTGTGTAAGTATTTGTATGTGTGTATATTTCTATACATGTGAGCCTACCTGGTAATTAAGATCTAGCCAGGGGGCCCTTTTGAAAGAGCTGTCCCTCAAGGAGGTAAGAGGGACGGTTTGTAGACAAAGGGCCTTTTCGGCAGCTGCCCCCGGACTATGGAATGCCCTCCCAACTGAGATTCGTCTGGCGCCGACATTGATGACATTTCGGCGCCAGGTCAAAACCTTCCTGTTCCAGAAGGATTTTAATTGAAATAACATCAACTGTGGGTCCTGATGGCAATTTTAATTGTATTTTAATCATTTTATCTTTTAATGTATTTTAATTGAATTTAATTGTTGTAAGTCGCCCAGAGACCTTTGGGTAGAGTGGGCAGCATATAAGTTAAATAAATAACTAAATATATGTATATTTTGGAACCAGAACAGTATGGAATGGTGCTTTCAAAAATCTGATGAAAATCAGACTTTGGATCAAATATAATAAAATATTTTGACGTGTAGAATTGCTATATTTCAATAACATGAAATGCCTCAGTGAGTATACTGCTTGGTTCAGAGATGAACAGATTTATCGTAGTATAATTTTTCATATATTAGAACTTTATCAAACGTGAGACGGTGCATGTACACAAGGATTGTTTCCTGGTTAAGCGCAACAGAAAGAATCACAGATAAGGGTGAGGGTGGGGATTGAGTTAGCAAATTATTAGGGGGTAAGAAGAAAAGTACGGCAGAGTGACTCGTTGTTTCTTTGTCTGCTCACCTCCACTCTCATTGCCTGGTATCTGAAGTAAGCGTTTTTCAACAAGTTCTCTAGCTATATTATTGTACAGCAGAGATGCTCTTCTGGCGGTGGTGATCAAGTAACCTGGCAAGTAGTCAGCCTGCAGCAGATCCTGTTCCCCGATTATCTGACCATCTGGTTGTTGGCTGGCTTCATAGTTCTTGCTTGCTCTGACACAGAGACAGGAAACGAAGGGGAAAAGGAAGGAGTTCCTTTCCAATGCTACATTTTAAAGCACCCCCTCAAAGTCTTCCTTTTCAAAGTCTTCCTATAACAACCCATACATTTCTGCCCCATTCCCAAAAAAAACCTTGGTGACATGAATTCCTCCAATTCAGCCCCTGCACAAGAGGCTGCAAACTGAAGAAGCCATTTTGCAACACCCCCAGTACAGAAAAAATGTAGAGGTAGAAGATGAAGAAATACAAACTATTGCTGTAGAAAACTCAAATGTATGCAAAATAAGAGTCTCTTCACAGTCATGTAAAGGCTTCAGCTTTTGAAATGTAGTAATGAATAATTCATCAATTTCATGCTGGATTCTCCCTTGGTAGGTATGTTTTCTTTTTTTGAAAGTATGTTGGGCTTCACTTCACTCACAGAGCTCCTGGGAGACTGAAATGATCTCTCTTACTGGTTTCTGGAAATTGGCATTTGATATCCAGTTTATGTTTGTTCTTTCATGTAGACACTGACCTCTTTGTCTTATGTGGACAGCAAAAGGGTATTGTTGGTAGGCGGTGGCTTTTATGTGATATGTTCGAACTGGAATATGAGCAAGTCAATTACCCCTTGAATGGTTTCCTCTGAACAGATAAAACAGCATTAAAAACTGGTGTTTGCTTTTGCCTGTGCTCATTTCTAAAACACTGAAATTTTAATCTATTTTTAATGTTAAAACATGGCTTTGCATGAGTGAGCCATGGGAATGTATAAATTTTAGTAGTGTTATAAACCAAGAAATTCTTTCCACAACTACTTTTTGGACTTCTCATTTGGAGATCTGGCTCACACAGCTTTATATCACACTCCATGATGACTAGCTTTGCTCTGTCAGCAAATACTAGGATCTAAAAAAACGGTAATAGCCAGCCATAATGATGGTGAATCCATCTTCTGATTTTACAGCTGTAATTCTGAATTGTTCCTAACCATTACGGTCAAGATTCAAAGACAGTTGCACCCCGTAGTGCATTGAATTTTGTGAATGCAGGCTTCCATGAACTGTCAACTAACCATAACATTTATTTTGTTTAAAGAAATAAACCCATTGGTATAACTTTAAATTTGTATTTGTTTTAATGTTATTTTAGATTAAAAATTCATTGGTGGCATTGAGCATCACTGGACAACTAATTTATTTTTAAGCAACAAAATTGTAATAAGCATATATTTGTAAAAGCGATCTTTTGGCAATGTAACCATGCAGTGAATTTATTTTGTATTGTTGGATTCAGGATCACTGCAGGTTCTGTTTCCTGCCTTTTGTCATGACTTGGATTATCATTTGTTTTTTGTGCAGGAGATCTTGTTGGAAAATTCTGTGTTGGTAGGTCTCTGTGCATTGTTCAAATTTCAGCAATTTTCAGTGTGTGTCTTTGTTTTATTTTCTTTTTTTGTATTTAACCCTTAATGTCAAGTAAAATATGTTTAGCATGTTGAGTGATGTTTTATTTCAGCCTAACCAAATTGTCTTTTAACATCTTTATCGCTGGCATTCAGATTTGGTTATGCATATTTTCTTTTTTCGTTAGATTAATGTAAAACATTTTAAGTGCACAAAGGAGACCACGTTTTAGGATGTGTATTGTTTTTATGTTTTGCTTGCACTTCCTGTGTTCATTTCTGCCATTTTCCTCTTCCTTTTAAAATATGGAAGACTGACAGAGGTCAGAAATGTGCATTTTGTTTTGCTTTGCTGTTAAGCTTGTGTGTTTTGGCTTTTTCATATAACAAATAGGACTGGAAAAAAATTTTAAGCATGCCTAAATCTCAAGACAATGTGAGATCATCCTGGGTGCATAAAGTTGACATTTCTGTACTTTAATTTTTTTTAAAAAAATTGGGCATCAACTTATTTTGATTTCTTAAAAATGTTCAAGTCATACTGTTCATATGCATTAAGTTATTTCTATAATTTAGTGTGCATGCAGCAGCATATAAAAATATTGCATACAGACCTGGTTTTAGAACTGTGATTCCATGGTACCATTTTTTATCCCTTTTCATCCTTACTTCTCATTGCCAAATGAGGTAGATGATTTCTTTGCACTAGCCACTCTGCTCTGCCTCATCTTTCAGGTTTCTAATGTTTGGCTCTTAGGAATACAAGAAAGTAAATAATAATAACGAAAAACAAAATTATACAGAAGTTTGTTAACTTTCTGTACAATTTTCTGCTCATTTAGTAGTTCCTTCTCTTATCATTTTTACAATCCCAGGATATAAATATACATTCTCATAACTTGCTGTGTAAGGTAGCAAGTTTCATATTACTGTGGATTTGTTCTAGAAATAGTCCAAAAATTAGAGATGAGGAGGAACTGTTAGTGAATTGTACCAAATTATTAATGTTGATTTGGACATTAGTAAAATAAGATTACCAAATTCTTCAACAGTAATGTTGAAATAGCAATGTTTTGGAAACCAGTATAAGAGAACAGTATACTTTTTGCTGTAGTAGATGTTTGTCATATACCAGACCTGGGCAAAGTGCGAGCTGCTCCTTTCCAGCCCACCAGACATCAAAACCATTTATAGCTTTTTGTCTAAAGTTGATCAGTTGCTTATCTTTAACATATCGCAAAAAACCTTTTTAGTATTTTTGAAGATTAACAAGTTTAAAATAAAAACTATCATAAGACCACTGTTTCATTTTATTTTTAAGTAAAGTTGGTCCGGCCCCTGAACACAGTTCAGATTTTTCATGTGGCCCCCCTATAGAAATTAATTGCCCACCCCTGTCATACACAATATACCTTGTCAGGTATTAAGCATCCATTAGTAGCTTTGAGCAGCTATTAGTGTAACTCTATGGGTCTTTTAATTTTAAGGCCCTGAAATATTAAGTGATCAGACTGTAAAAAACATATTTTCTTTGAGTTTCACATTTGCATTATAACAATTTATTCACCTTTGTCAGCAATGTATCACCTTTACTTCACTTCCTTGCACAGATTTTGGGTAATCCCCAGCATCTCCAGGTAGGGTTTTGAAAGTGCCTTGAGTTGAAGCCATTGAAAACCACTGGTAGTTAGACTAAACAGTACTTAACTAAACAGACCAGTGGTCTAACTTAATAGAAGTCAGAAGCTTCCTGTGTAAAATGTTCTTTTCTACCATATTTCTTTACTTATCTTCTTAATATTCTATTCTTGTTTGGTTGTGATGTGAGTAGAGTTATAATTTGATCATGCGGAATGCTTAACCAAAACCAAAGTCTGGGGCTGGCTCCTTAGTGTCGGTGTGGAACTCTGGAATGTTCTCATGGACAGAAGGGTGGAAATTGTTTCCATTAATTCTGCTCCCATCCCCTTGCAGTCACCCTGTGCTACTGAAAACTGGTTAGTTGAGTTGTTCAAATTTCTAGAATAATATATACAATGTGAGGGTGGGTTATTGCATGAAGGAGAAATTGCTAAACTTTGTCAGGCCATCCCCTTTCTCCAGCAGGGAGTCTGAATTCTGATTTCTTCTGTCAACAAGAGCCTTAGCTTAAAAAGAAAAGAAAAGCATACTGCTTATATACTTCCCCCTAGCGAATAAACCACTTAAAGCATACTGCTTATATACTTCCCCCTAGTGAATTGTGGTTTACAATTTAATTATGCAGGCAACATACTGCCGTCATCCCCAGCAAGCTGGATGCTTAATTTACTGGTCTTGGAAGGAGGGAAGGATGAGTCACTTTGAGCTGGCTACCTGAACCTACTGGGATTGAATGCAGGTCATGAGCAGAGTTTTCACTGCAGTACAGTGGGGTCTTGACTTAAGAACGAATTGAGTTAAGAACATTTTGACTTAAGAACCGCTCTCATAGGAAAATATTGACTTGACTTAAGTACTTAGATTTGAGTTAAGAACTGAAAAAAACCCACGTGGGAGGCAGGGAAAGTGCAAAATTTGAACTTTCGGTTAACTGTTGGCCAGTGAAAAGGGTGCCTGTCTGCTTCCTCACTCCTCCCAGTGCAGCTTCCCATTAGTTTCTATGGACGGAAAAGAGCAGATACGGATCAAATGGTTTCCAATGCATTCCTATGGGAAATGCAGATTTGACTTGAGAACTTTTTGACTTGAGAACCGCCTTCCAATATGGATTAAGTTCTCAAGTCAAGACCCCACTGTACTGCAGTTTAACCAAAAAAAGCTTTAGTCTTTAGATCCCAACCCATTCTTTGAAATTTTACAAGGATTTAACTTAGTTCAGATTAACATAGTTGAAATCTTTCTGCTGTTTATTTCTTTTAAAAAATCAGTTTTCCAGTTTTCTTTTATATTTATTCAAAGTAGATGGCAAGATTTAACAGATGAAAAATAAATCATATTGGTAATCAAGATGATAGAGATTGGCTCAGCCGTTGAATCAGCTCAGATCATTTTGTTCATGTGAAATATTGTACACAACCATTTCCAATACTTATCTGAAATAATTTTGGTTCCCCCCCCCCCGTCTTTTCTAACTGACTTTTAATTTTGTTTAAGAGGTATTGCTTGGAGAGCTTTAGGTACCTACCTTTAAGTTACCATCTATAAAACCATAACCCAGTCCATATCCTTTCTCTGTGTATTTCAGGTGAATCTTTCTAGTTCATATCTGTTGTTGAGGCGAGCAGTGCTTGCTTGTTTACATCAGCTTGTGCAGAGAGAGGCAGCTGAAGTATCTGAACATGCTGTGGCCCTTGCTAAAGACAGTAGGGAAGACTTCACTCCAGGTAATGCTGAGCCTTATTAAAATGCAAACCTTTGCGAAATTAATAAAGCTGTCATGTTTTTCCTTCCTAAAGAAACATTAGCTTATATGGAGGCTTTACCTTGGAATGCAGAATTCTATATTGCACAGTCATGTAGAATTTCAGACTCTTGTGTTGCACAATGGATACCTTATGACTAGATTTTTTTTCTGAAAAGAAAAAAGGTAGAAGAAGCTATAAACTAAAATGTTAGCTCCTCCCCCTCATGTAAAATCCATCAGGATTGAAGCATGATGTTTGCACAACAAAAGCCTCATCTGGAAACAGTCTCAGCATGTGCCACATCAAAACCTCTGTTTTCATACAAACTGGCATGGGAGTGAGAAGCGTGCCAATTCCTCCCTCCCTCTTCCTGTAGGCTTTGGTGCCGCTTCACAAACTTTACTGCACAATCTTCTCTGGCATATACTAGTTTAGAACATTTTCATTTTGTTGCATAATTTGAAACTCAAGAGTGGTTTGAAGTAGTATATTTACAGTTTCAGAGTCTAACTTGACATACAACTCCCATATTGAAACAACAGATCTACTTCCTTTTGTGCTAGGGAAATAAAAAAACAAAAATAAAGGTGTGAGTGTGGGGGGAAATGGAAAGAAACTGCAAATGTGGAATAAATTCTGAGGTTGTATAAAAGTATTCCTCTTTCCAAGGAAGCTGTTTTTTGGGTTTTTTTGGACTTATATACCGCCCCATAGCGCTACAAGCACTCTCCGGGCGGTTTACAATTTTAATTATACAAGTGTGGGGGGAAATGGAAAGAAACTGCAAATGTGGAATAAATTCTGAGGTTGTATAAAAGTATTCCTCTTTCCAAGCTGTTTTGTATCTAGGGCCAATGCCTGTTGTTAGTAATAGACTGGAAGAGGGCTGATAAACTTAATCCTGTAAGAAAGAGGTGTTCCTGATCAGTTAAAAGGAAAATCAAGAGATAGGGATTCAACTTTTCCAGGGTGGGGTTACAGTCCACCTGAAAAGTCAGGTTCACAGTTTGAGTGTGCTCATGGACTCAATTTGGAGCTTGTATGCACAAGCTTCAGTAATGGCCTGTTTTGTATCTAGGGCCAATGCCTGTTGTTAGTAATAGACTGGAAGAGGGCTGATAAACTTAATCCTGATAAGAAAGAGGTGTTCCTGATCAGTTAAAAGGTAAATCAAGAGATAGGGATTCAACTTTTCCAGGGTGGGGTTACAGTCCACCTGAAAAGTCAGGTTCGCAGTTTGAGTGTGCTCACGGACTCAATTTGGAGCTTGTATGTACAAGTTTCAGTAATGGCCAGGAATGTATTTGCATAGTTAATGATGATGTACCAGCTGCATCCATTCCTTGTGTTCCACTATTTTGACTGTGATTCTGAACTATATGCATTATGTCAGTGGTGTTAAAGTTCCTTTTGTTTTATTCCTTATATATACTGTATGTAAAAACCAGCTTATAAAAGGAATGGATTAAAGAGACAATCAAATGCTAATGCAAAATAAATCAGTATGGAATATTATTTGGCACTAAAATGAATGTTTTTAAAAGAAAAGATGTTGCAAAGTCATATGTCCCCCCCCCCCAAAAAAAAATCTCCAAAGTTTCTGGAATATTGAGGAAACTTTGGAGTCCCTCTATTTATTTGTTTGGCTTTATCTTGGATAGATACGGGAGAGGTGAAATAAGGCCTTTAACATTCAGGGTTAACATTTTGTCCTAAAGCACACTGCTGTTGTACGCTGCTATTGGAGAGTTTCATGTGTGATGATACACAGTAATTCATACATAAAAACACTCAGATCCTGTTGTGTGTTACTTGCTTTGTTTTTCACAGGCATTAACATAAGAGAAGTAGGCCTTGAAGGTGCATTGTTAAGCTTATTAGACAAAGAACTGGATCCAAAACTGTGCCAAGATATCAGAGAGACCCTGAGCCATATGCTTCTATCAATGGCTGTGGAAAAACTCTCTTTCTGGTTGAAGCTCTGCAAGGATGTCCTAGTTGCCTCTGTTGGTATGTGCTGAGATCATGTTCATGGAAGACTGTACGTATGTACATATTGTCTTATCAAGGAAGAATCCTCTAATTATATTAGGAGGTTTAAGTTTTTTTGAAAATAACGGGGGTGAAATAGGCCTTCATGGTTGGGACCAAATTTATTCAAAGTAGATGTTTCCCCCTCCCTCCCTCTCTCTCTCTCTCTCTCTCTCTCACACACACACACACACACACACACAGAGAGAGAGAGAGAGAGAGACTGCTTAGGTCTTTATTAGAGATGGGGGTATTCATATACGCATACCCCACACACACAGCTGGACTTAACAAGGGTTTGGCCTCTAGGGCCCAACTGTCCACTCATGTGTCTGCTGGTGGTGGCAGCCTTGGTCAGCCTTCCAGTCGCTGCCAGAGCGCCGCTCTCTTTCCACTCATCTAGCCACTCAGCAGCCGTCAAGGGAGACTCGTCCTCCCTGTCCCTGCCTGGGGTTGGCTAGATGAGCAGAAAGAGAGCGGCACTCCGGGAGCGATTGGAAGGCTGCCGCCGCTGCCGGACGCATGAGCGGATGATCTGGGCCTGTAGGCCGAACCCTTGTTAAGTCCAGCTGTGCAGGGGGTGTTCATATTCATATACAAATACAACTAACCTAATCTCTAGTCATTATCACAAGCCCTCCTCCACATGTACCTCCGTCCTGTCACAAGTGACACGAGTGGCAAGCGGGTCTTCTCAGTGGTGATGCCATGGGGAGGCTTCTGAAAGGTGCTAGTATTTCGCTATATTTCAAGCACCAGGATGTTTTTTTCTGTTTTTTCCCCCCTCAGGGTTTTAGTTGGTGAAGTGATTTCTTTTTATTGTTGCTGCCAATTTCTCTCTGCTGACTTTTAGTTATAGATGGGAGTTTGATTCCCCACTGTGCCTCCGTGACAGGGGCTGGACCTGATGAGCCATAGGGTCCCTTCCAGCTCTGCAGTTCTAAGTTGTTTGTTTATCATCATCATCATCATTTACCATTTTCAGCTGACCTGATAATATTTATATTGATAGATGGTTTAAAATACAAGTAATAGTTATTCATACCTCATACCCAGCTCCTTTTTCTTTCAGTCCCTTTGTCAGTTATTCCTCTCTGGCATATGCTTCCTTCCACTTATGCTCTCTTAGGGATGTTGAGAATGTGGTGGATAACATTTCCAGCATCACTGTTATCCATGTTGACAACTCAGAAAATGATTTGTATCTTTGTCTTAATGTAGATATCTTAACAGTGGCTTCCGTGGATACAACCCAAGAAGAAGAGGGTGCTCAAGCAGATGATGAATTGGCATTCGGTTTGGAAAATGATGAAAGTTTGCACCCCTTTCCCCACCCTCGGTGGTCTACTAGAGTTTTTGCTGCCGAGTGTGTTTGTAAAATTATCAATCAATGTGAGAATGCAGACAACACTCACTTTGATCTAGCTCTTGCACAGGAAATGAAGCAAAGAGATTCAAGAGGTACGTGCTGGTGTTGACACCGAGAGAGCAAGACATTTTTCCAATGCAACCAATTTTAATTTTGACAAATAGTATCTTAACAGAATTGAGTAGAGTCTCTTCATAACTACTGTAGCACATGTTAATCTTGTACACATTCAGGTACAGATCACTGTTTCATCGCCCTCTTTATAGGTTTGGGTGGATGTGTATATTTGTAATATAAACAAATCAATACTTTTGAGGAATAAAGACATCTGTTTATTTGTTTATTATGACTTTTGCGTTCTTTAATCCTTTGTAAGGGATGCATGGACAGTTATCCTCAGTGGCCAGATATATAAAAATAGATGAAATACATAGGAAAGGGGACTTGAAATTTAACATAGGGCCAAATGATCATCATGTATAAGGATAATATTTTTAAACCACCTAAATTTGTGTTTCCCATCCTGTTTCCCATCTGTGCTAACTGACATAGAAAATCTGGGGTGTTTCCAGATGTATCCAGAAAGGATAGTTCCCCCCACTATCCTTTATCTCCTTACATTAAAGTCTGAATTGCTACAGTATGGGTCTCTGATCGGCTTCCATTGTTTTGCTTGCACAAAGCTGAGGAGTCAGCGTGAAGAGGTATCCAGTAACTCTTTGTGAAAGCAGAAGCCTTATTAATTTGAACAGGTGCTCTTTTTAATCAGACAGTACAATTCCTAAGCAGCACTCTGGCTTGGGATTTCTATTTCATTATTATTTGAATACACTGTTTATTATTCGTTTTATTTATTTATTAAACTTCTACCCCACCCATCTAGACCAAATGTCTACTCTAGGTGGCATTACAAATTTTTAAAAACAGTAAAACCAATAAACATATACTATGAATCCAAGGTGGCAAAAATGTCAAAATTTAAGATACAGCAGGAAAGAAAGCCTGCCAAAATAGCCAGCTCTTAATTTTACCCCTGAAAACACCCAGAGAGGGAGCCAGGCGAATCTCAACAGGCAGATTGTTCCAGAGGCAAGGGGCCACTGCCAAGAAGGTCCGGTTCCTCCTACTTTCCTTCTGGACCTCTCTCGGTGTTTACACGCATCCTTTCATTTATTTTCTCTGTCCCTCACTCATTCATACGTGTGTTTGTATATGTGCATGCATACACACATCCATGCACCAGACAATTGAGCATAACATTTCTTGCATCTGCTGAACTGTAATCCTTTAAGTTTATGCTGTAATAAATATGTTGGGCCATTCTGCTTGCACTGCATTTCATTGAGACAAGTAGTGGGACTTTTCTGAACTTGCATATGAAAGCATGGTCGTACATAAATGGATGCCCATCTGGTGGTGCCAGTATTCAACTTGTGCAGTCTTCTGCAAACATTCTGAATGGAACAGAATTCTGGCCTTGGTCTTGAAGTTCCATCAAATCTTTTCTTGGCTTATGCTTACGTAGACTGACACAGCTGATTTTCTGGGAATTAATGCAGTTGAGGCACACTTTTCAAGATGTTACAATGCAAGACATAAGCTGGAAGTTGTTGGTTTTACACAAAATGCTGCCTCTCCATAGTTGTTATTTATGACGTCTTGATAGTGCAGATTATAGCCTTCAGTGTTGGAGAGGCAGCTGTGACCCTCCCATAATCTCTCTGCATTGGTTATGCGGATTAGTGCTGATGGGAGTTATAAATTCAGAACAGTTTGTCACCTCAGTTTGAAGTAACTCTAATGTGGGTATAAAAGTATTTTTGAATGAAAGAAAAGAAGAGGGGTGAGGAAAAAAAGGCAAAGCTGCTGAGGTAACCATCAATAGCTGAAATCCTGTTGTACATCTTATGCCATGTAAAACTGATGAGGACCATAGCAATTCTTTGAAAATTAACATTTCTGATCCCGCACTCCCCCCCAAGTCCAAAGGCTTTCTTGGGATCCCTTTCATCCTGGGGAAGAGGTTGGGGGATGGGGAAGGTTTTTAATTTTGAAACATGACCATCATAGTTAAAACCACTGGCAAAGATTTTTGAAAATTAAAAACTCCTGTCCCAGTCCCCACTCCCAAGTGAGCCCAGCTAGGCCTTGCACAACCTGAGTTAAAGCAACAAGATTTCAGTCAATGTTAAAAATGCTTCCTCGCTTTCTTTTTATAATCTCTGTATCTTTCTATCAATATTATAACAAACGTATGTTTTCCTGTCTGTCCTACTCAGATGATTTCCTAGTACTGCATTTAGCTGACTTGATCCGCATGGCATTTATGGCTGCCACTGATCACAGCGATCAGCTTCGTCTTTCTGGCCTCCAGATGTTACTTGTTCTTGTTCAAAAGTTTGCTGCTGTACCAGAACCAGAGTTCCCGGGTCACCTAATTTTGGAGCAGTATCAAGCAAATGTAAGTAACCTTTTGATTCTAAAATAATTGGGGGGAAATGATTATCTAGAAGGCAACATTATGAAATAATACATTATTGGTATTTTACCTGCATAGTCTTAGTTTTAAAAAAGTTAATAATTGGTACAAACTGATATATTTATTACACAAGTTGTAAAATATAATATCCATTACCATCATGATTTTATAGTAAAAATCATGCTCTGTATGAAAAGCTACTATACATTAGCAGCTCACCATGCTCAGTATTTTTTTTAAATGGCCTATGTGGCTTCTGAAATGTGTATCATGGCTCCGAGACATCCAACAATTTGGAAAATTGTTAGGAAATTATCTTGTATCCTGTCAATTGTTGCAGAGATTCATATTTAATTTTATTTATATATTTATTTATTCTACTTATATCCCGCCTATCTGGTCTTGCGACCACTCTTTATTGAAATGTTCCAAAAGGCATCATACTCAATGACAATATCCATTGATTAAAATACATTAACTGTAAATTAAGGATATTGGCTTAGTTTGCAATGTATCAAATCATTTTCTTTAGGGAGTTACTCTTCTTGATAATCTTTATCTTTTTTTTTTCTTTTAGGTTGGTGCAGCACTTAGACCAGCCTTTACCCCAGAAACACCCCCTGATGTAACTGCAAAAGCATGTCAGGTAATTTGTTTTTCAATGTCTAGAATTCATGTTCAGCCAGATCTTGATCAATCACAGGTAAAACTAGATAAAGTAAACAGTGATGGCTACTTCTATTGATAGAATACCATCCACCAGCAGAACTGGGAGGAGAGTGGTTCTTTTTTACTACAGCCCTAGTGCATAACCCAAATCTCTGAAAGCCTGGGGCACATTTTGGATATGGTTTTTAGGTATGTGGGACAGCGGTGGTAAGTTCTTGCACTCTGGCCTTTGAATGTGACACTGAATATAGATTGATATATTTGTGCAGTCTTTTACTAATTAATATTGAGAATGCTACACCTCTGAGTGAAGCATGTGAACAGCAGGCTGCCTGAATGTTCTTGATATACTTTCATATCTTTGTTTATAACATTTCTTTATAAATGATTTCTTATGGATCGTGTGCTTAGATAACTTCTTGTTGACATTTATAGTGACAGTAACTTTGCTCCTCTGAAGACATGGGAAAAGCAATTAGAATGGTTTTCTCATGGATAGCAATATAATCGTAATATGTTCCCAAAGTGTCTGGGCTATTTTTGTACTGGTACAAGTGACACTTCTGTTGAACCCCTGTTAGCTTGACAGATTGCAGGAATACTGTGAGTGGATATTCACCTTGCATTATCATCTACTTCCCAGATGTTTGAGGAGGTGGAAGCACGGCAGCGATCAAGCTGTTCCTTCAGGATTTCTCTTCCTTAAATCTTGATTGCTGATTGTAAAGGATTATGTCTTTTGCTCTACGAAAGCTTAAATGTTAATTGCTAATTTAGGGGCTTAAGTCTGGAGATAGTTTATGATCTGAAAATCACAGAACTGTGATCCTTCGTTCTTGGGCAACTTGTTAGTATACTGGGCAATAATATAAAAAAGAAATTAAATATTTGGTTCCTATATATAATGGGGAGTTCAGGCCAATATCCTTACCTGATTATAACCATAAGCATAGATTCTTTGTCATTTAGGTAAACCTTCCTTCTAGATAAGGAGATTGCATTGCCTGAAATCTGAGTTCAGTGAAAGCCCTGTTGATCTGTGGGTGGGTCCTTTCGACCTTAACAAACCACAGTGAGCATCCCCAACCTCTGGTTCTGCCGCCAGATACATAAACCTTTGAGCTATCCAGCAGAAACAAGAGTCATTAATACCCCTTACCCCCAGTCTTCACCTGTATCAAGATGAAAAGCCCATCTAACATATGTGTTACTATTACTTTGGTGGCAGGCAAAGACCTGTTTATTTTTCCAGGTCTTTTCCATTAAATTCTAGTTCTGAGATTGGTATAGCTCAATGGATTTTTCTCTTCCATTCTGTACTGAGCTAGTTTAATGGTGGGTGTTTATATTTACGGACAGTCTATGTGGTATAGACAGTGGCTCCAAACCACAAGTACTCGGGTGTTCTTGAACTAAAACTCTCAGAAGCCTTCGCTGCCAGCTGTGCTGGAGCTGTTGTCCAAGAACATCTGGGAACCCAAGGTTGGGAACCACTGAGACAGAGACAGATTCAAGAAAGCAAAGTCAAAGGATCATAGAATAATGGTGTTAGAAGGGGCCTGTGCATTTGTTGACCCCCTGCTCAATGCAAGAATCCAAGTTAAATCTTGTCTGACAGATTACTGTCTTGTTTTCTCTCAAATGCTTCCAGTGTTGGAAAGCTCTCCACCCCTCATGGTAATTGGTTCCATTTTCATACTGCTCTAACAGTTAGGACCTTTTTCCTGATACTCAGCCAAAATCTGCTTCCAACTTGAGTCCATTATTATGTGTCTTGCCCTCTGGAATGATTGAGAGGATCCTGCACTCTCTTCTGTATGAGAACGTTTTAAGTATTTGAAAAGTGCTATCTTAATCTCCTTTCAGTCTTCTTTTCTCAAGGTGAAATATTCCCAGATCTTTCAGTCTTTCCACACAGAAGTTGGTTTCCAGTTCCCCAATCATTCTTGTTGCCCTACTCTGCACTTGTTCAGTTTGTTGCCGTCCTTCTTAAGGTTCAGTGTCCAGAACTGGACAGTGTGCTGAAGATGAGGCCTTACTAGTGCCAAATAGAGTAGAACTAGTACTTCACATAATTTGGAGACTATACTTCTGTTAATGCAGTCTAAAATACAGTGGTGTCTCGCTTAACGAGGATAATCCGTTCCAGCGAAATCGCTGTAGAGTGAAATCCTCGTTAGGTGAAATAAAAAATCCCATTGAAACGCATTGAAAACCCGTTCAATGTGTTCCAATGGGCTGAAAACTCACCGTCCAGCGAAGATCCTCCATAGGGGCAGCCATTTTCGGTGCCTGTATAGCGAGAAATCCATCCAAAAACACAGCGGGGAGCCATTTTACACAGTGGGTGGCCATTTTGAAGCCGTAGATTAGCTGTTTTAAAATCGTAATGCAAAGAATCGGTTCCTGAAGCAGGGAACCGATCGTCGCAAAGCGGGTTTTGCCTATTAAAACATTGTTTTGTGATCGCAAAAGCGATCGCAAAACAGTCATCATATAACGGTTTTGTTGTTTAACAAAGCAATCGTTAAGCGAGGCACCACTGTATCCTTTTTTGCAGCTTCATCACACTGTTGGCTCATATTGAGTTCATGTTCAAGATCTTTCTTACATGTAGTCCTGGCTTGGCTGTGGAAACAGTGTAGTAATGACAAACTACTCTTTGAATACCTCACATATTGAAGACCCTGTTAGGCATGCCATAAGTCAGAAACGACTTGATGGCACATAACAACATTTGTACTTCTAGGTTCTCTGTGTTTAAACCATGGATTTTGATTTTCACTTGCATTTTATCTGTTGCCTTTATTGTATTTTTTTTTTCACAACTATGATTTGTAGTTTTTTTTCCTTTTGTTGTAGCTACCTAAAGGATTTTTGTTGTTAGACAACCTAAAAACTTAATTTAAGTGCATAAATCACTGTGTGCAAATACAGTTGTATGTCTTTCTCTTGGGAAAAACCTTTGCAGTATTTAAATTTTTTTCACATTGTTCACTCTTATCTGGAAATTGAATCATGGCAACTGGACTTCTTTCTTATTAGATGGACAATCTAACGAGCCTACTGTATTCAGACCAGGGGGAAGTGAAACCAACATGGAGGATATATCAGGGGTCTCCTACCAACTCTCCTCAGACTGAAGAAGCTACTTGGATGAGTAGTGAAACATTTCAACCTAATAAGAAAGAAGTCAATTTGCCATGACTCAACTTCTAGATAACCTCACGTGGATGACTGAGAATCTTCACAGATATATACTCTTCACTCTTATACTAGGTTTGCAGTGCCTGGATAGCAAGTGGTGTAGTAAGTGACCTTCATGACCTTCAGAGAGTTCATCAGCTGCTTGTAACATCCTTGACTAAAGTACAGGCTGGAAAAGAAGCGCAAAATCAACTTTATAATGAAGGCACAACAACTATGGAGATACTGGCTGTGCTAAAAGCTTGGGCAGAGGTACTTCAGTTGCACTTGTGTTTTTGAATTATTATTCTGGATCAGTGATTTGAATTTAAAAATTAAGGTTATTGTCCTTATAATTAGGACCTTATAGGGTATGATGTTTTAAGAATTTTGTTAAATTCTTGGGTAGTGGTGTTTTAAGAATAAGGATCTAATTTATTTCAATCAGATGGTCTAAGCATTCTACAAATCCAAGCTGGAAAGCTTTGCTGTTTAGAAGGATTTTTTTAAACAGAGCAATTTATAGTAAGAATCTTAGCAAGAGATTTTTTTTCTTGAATTGTATGTGATATTCTCCTATGTGATACTCATTGTCATGTAGTAGATAGAGTAATAGACTAGGACTCAGGAGACCTGGATTTGATCCCCAAGCTCTGCCATGGAAGGTAACTGGGGAATGAAACTTGGTAAAACCACTCCTTAAATACCTCTTATCTTGAAAACCCTATTAGGGTTACTATAAGTCAGTTCTTACTTGACAGCACATAACATCTTTCTTCCTAGAAACATTACCTCTATATATTGAATAGTAACTTTTCTTTCATTACTGCTGCATAGCACAGTGGTTTTGGTCTCTGGCTATGGAGCCAGAAGTTGGGGATTTGATTCCCCACTATGCTTCCTTGACAGGCTCTGGACATGATGATCCATAGGGTCTATTCCATCTCTGTTTTTCTGAAATTCTAAGATTAAGTATGTGTTCTAGATAGCTTTTTCTGGACAAATAGGTTTGCTTCCTTTCCCACCTTGGCCCTTTCTTCTCTTTTATTGTGCATGTGTTGAGATCTGAAGTTCCGCGTCATTAGTTGTCATGTTGGACACATGAATACATATTACTACAGAACTTATCAGAAGTGCTCAGAACTATACACTATCCAACCATGACTTGATAATTCTAGCACAGATGGCTTTAAAATATATATTAAGCCTGGCTCATCCTTCAGGTATTCATGTTTGAAGCAAAGCAGAGGGATCTGGTACATCCACTGGTGACTGAGTCTGAAGATGTATAAAAATGTGGGCAATGCAGATTTTATTCTTATCTAAAAATCAGTCTCAGTATGTTTCAGTGGTGGCCTTCTTCAGGAGCAACCTTTTAGAACATTTGCTTCTTGTTTGGGCTATACCAGCTTTAACATACCCCTTTGTGGATTGCCCCCTTCATGGATTGCTGCCTTGTTGTGGTGAAGGGGCTTGAGTAACTCAGAGAAGTTATGGGCTATGCCGTGCAGGGACACCCAAGATGGACAGGTCATAGTGGAGAGTTCTGACTAAACACGATCCACCTGGAGCAGGAATTGGCAATGCCACTCCAGTATCTTTGTCAAGAAAACTCCATGGACAGAAACAAAAGGCTGCAAGATATGACGCTGGAAGATGAGTCCCTCAGGTTGGAAGGCCTCCAGCATGCTACTGAGGAAGAGAGGAGGACAAGTGCAAGTAGCTCCAGAGCTAATGAAGTGGTTGGGCCAAAGCCAAAAGGATGCTCAGCTGCAGACATGCCTGGAAGTGAAAGGAAAGTCTGATGCTGCAAAGAAAAATATTGCATAGGAACCTGGAATGTAAGATCTATGAACCATGGTAAGCTGGATGTGGTCAAACAGGAGATGGCAAGAATAAACATTGATAACCTGGGCATCAGTGGACTAAAATGGACAGGAATGGGCGAATTCAGCTCAGATGATTATCATACCTACTATTGTGGGCAAGAATGCCTTAGAAGGAATGGAGTAGCCCTCAAAGTGAACAAAAGAGTGGGAAAAGCTGTACAGTACAGTGGTGTCTTGACTTAAGAACGGCTTGAGTTAAGAACATTTTGACTTAAGAACCACTCTCATAGGAAAATATTGACTTGACTTACATACTTAGATTTGAGTTAAGAACTGAAAAAA